AGGGGAGTGACACCCATTGTCCTAAGAGAAAATCTGTGAGTTATGGGTAAGAAGCGCTGGGTGCACCAAGGGAATGACACTTGTACTATGTGTGTCCCACTTGGGACTTGTGTTTGCATGATGAGATTCGAGCGTCCTGTCTTTCGGAAGGAAAGGATTGGTCTGCACCGGCCAGTGCGGGTTGCGAAACGTCGTTCTCTTTTGTAGGCTGCCGTGTGTTCGTATGTGGAGGTCAGGCCACCGAGCTGTCGGACGGGAGTTTGTCACGTCGGTTGATTAGTCGCATACTCATTCGAGCGGTGACGGGCTTCGGCTCGATGATCTGCTGGACGGGGTGTGAAATCTCCTCAGGCGGGGCTTAGCCTCTTGGCTGGCGGAGGGAGTACCACTGCATGCGGACAAAGATGGAGCCTCAGAGGCGATTAGTAGCCTCTCGTAGCATGGTTTTGGGAAAGGCTCATTCTTGTCGGACCGATGGAAGTGAATGCCCGGACGACTAACTTTGTCCCCGTATTTAGGTACTCGGGGTAACCCTCGGTGTCGGTATGGATGTGCAAAGCGGCAAGACGGGATGGGTATTCTGGGTAAGGAGGAAAGGGCGAATGCCTTGCCGAGACCTGGGTACCGCGCTCGCGACAGTTGAGCTGCGCTTGAGGTATGGGATAAAACTCTACCGATAGTACCAGCGGAGAGACCGGGATGACCGGTGAGGAGATGACCGGCCCGTATGTGAGGCTGCCTGATTTTTTTTTATGTGTTCCCCCTATGTAAAAATTGATTGAGCTTGGATTGTTGGACCAGACATATTTCTAAGTCTATCCCCCCCCCCATCTAAGTCCATACGAGTGAGAGATGATCGGAAGAAAGGAGGATAGAGGTCAGTTGGAATGGAACCAAGAGAAAGAATGTGGGCAAATGGATGGCCGGCCGAGGGAATTATGAGAAGGAGGTACTTAGGAATGAGAAGGTAAAGTAGGGAGACCTTAATGGGGGGTCTGAAATAATCCTCATTTAGAAAAAGGAGTTCACCTGACCACAAGAACCGGTTGGTACTCTTTCATGAAAACAGGGGCTGGGTGCTGGAAACAAGATGGCGCGATGGTTGTCTCCCCCGACTTATACCAGCGGTCTAGAGATGCCAGTAGACGTAAAGGACGGAGTGTCGGTCGTCCTCCCGGAAGATGGGGCGTGGACGAACCTTGAACCAGCATATCAAACCGTGATGCTGGATGGGAAGGACGCGTTCCTATGGATAGAGACGGTATGGGCTAATGTTAGCTTGACAAGGTTGTCGCCAAGTTTAATGGATTCGGAGTTCCGGGGAACGATGGAAGCTCGGGGGTGGGTCTACTTGTCGCAAGATGGGGAAAATGCTATGGTCATAGAATTGGCACTCGGGAATACGCCAGACGAATTGTTTAGGAAGGCAGAAGCAAAGGTTGTGTGGGCTGCATGTCAATAGAGGGAAATGGAAATGGAAAGGGTAGACGTACGGGTGAAACTTGGCGATAGGGGAAACATGAGGCGACCCGTAAGAACCATGCGATGTGTGTTGGCCCCCTTCCTAGTGGATGCGGTTTTTCGGAACCCGGAGCAGGCTAGTACAGATATGCCAGTCAATGGCGAACCTCGGGCTATACCAATGCGTTACGCAAGATTTTTTTCGGTTATCAGTAGAAATGGGGCCGTTCGAGGGGAACTGGGCGGAGGAGCTGGCCGAGATACTAAACTGCCTTAGCATAGACAATATCTTTGTCCCTAGCGCTGTGCATTGGAGGATAGTCTACAGGAATGTGGCAATAGGGGAGACGTTTCTAGATGGGGTAAGGGAGTTGCTGTACGACGAGGAGGACGACTTCAGTAATGAAGATGAAGATGAAGAGATAGAGGACTGGGACTTCTAAGAAGGGTGGGGTAACTTAACTTAGGAAGGACGGGTGGCTTGGTATTGTGCAAGAAAGGGAAGGATGACTAGAGAAGAAATGATGATGGAATACACCTTCAAAGGTTGGGAACCACGACGACTCAGAGGAGGAATATAAATGCCTATACCGACAGAAAACGGATGGAGGGAGACCACGTGCGGCTGAATTGGGTTTGAGGTTGCCCGGGACTTGTCATATGTGTGGATAGAGCGGATTTGGAACCCGATAAGGGAAGAGGAAGGTTGGGATGATATAGCAGAAGGCAAGGTAGAGTCAGTCGGAACGATTGTCCTTTCTGAGGATGGATGACACCTGTTTTGCACTATGTTAGCAACAAGATAGGACCCGATGTGGCTTCCAGGGGACGCAGAGGCCCAAACCCGAAAAAAAGGCAAGAGGTTCGCCAATGAGGGGTGGGACGGAGTTAGTAGCAAAGTTGTGATGGGAGGGTGGGCCTCCCAGTCTGCGCATAACAGCTTGGGTGCCCGAGTTCGTGGCCGACTGGTTCGGGGGTTTTGAGCACATAGCAGACGTAGCCGACTCCATGAGGAAAGTACACACAGAATGTGCCTGGCTGACCGAGGAGTTCTATAGGTTCTCCTTAAATTATGGGCCCTTCTACGGGGATAAAGCCGGTGAGGTCAGCACCATCCTGAGGATAGGTAAATACGACCGCCTAGAGGTAAGCGCGGAAGCTTGGGACGCCATAGTTAGCCGGGAGGCGGCGGCCTCGCCATCCTATGTGGACGATGTTTTTATGCTGTTTGAGGTGCGGTGGTTTGATTAAAGGGGCTCAAAGTTCGAGCGGCACAGGAAGAGCGAAATATGGAGGATGCATGTGAATTAGGGTGTAGCATAAGAAAGGGGCATGTACAATAGTCAGCAGGGGACGCGAGGAGGCCGAAGTAAGGGCAGACATGGAGACGGGATAATGGCGGGAACCAGTGTACGATAAGTAGGAAGGGCCGAAAGACTAAAACGCGAAAGGCGTGGAATCTCGATGAGTGCAGCAAGCGGACTAAGGAAGCAGGAAAATAGGCATTTTAAGATGGACCGGCGAATGACTTTCTGGGGGAATAGACCTCGCGGGATCCTGCCACCAAGAGCATCGGAAGGCAGGGTCGAAATAAGCCTGCCGGCAAGATATACGGTAGGCAATCCGGTAATGGACTAGGTGATGGTGGAGTTGGCGGAAGATACGGTGTACCTAGTAGTGGAGCTGGAATGGCGTGCGAGAGGGGAGTTCGGGGGCATAGACTTGAACCTCCCAGGGCGTGTACATGCAACGGGATCCTTACACCTGTCGGAGAGGGATGGCGGACCTTTGGGATTGCTTTGGCCTCCGGGGATGACCCCGTGCGAATGTTCAAAGGGGCATGGCAAATAACCTGGCGGGAGGGGTTTGAGTTTACAGACCCGGAACAAGATGACGTAACGGCAGAGGTAAGAGTCGCCGCGGCGGGGGTTTTCGAGCTGCCAAATGAGATCGTACGGATGAATCTACCACCCTTCCGCTAAGACGAATGAGAGGCATAAAACGAGTGGAACAGGCGGTGACTGCCGTAACTAGGCTAAATTTTGACGAAGCATTAATGTATCGAGAATACTATTGGGCCTTCCTAGAGATGGTGCCTTTCGGGGACGAACAAGGGCGCGAGGTGCTTTGTATTCTACGAGCAGCGGTAAATACTGGGCCAGGAGTCCCACAAATAAGTGATGAGACCATGTGGGAAGTCATCCGGCGAGACGTAGGTCGGGGCGCGACCTACATACATGATCTCTATCGGCTGTATGAACAGCCAGAGGAGGCTACTGCTCCCGGGGGCATAGAGGGATAGTTGGGACTAGGAAAGAGAAATGAGAAACACGAAGGGCAAGGGGGGCAGTAGGTGGACGGATTCTGAAGATTGACAGTAACCCTTTCTATGTGGACTATGCAGGGAATCACCAAGGTAACAATGGCAGCAAGACGTGAGCAAGTGGAACGCCAGCCCCGTGTGCGAATGAAACGTCAGCCTTGGTACCCCGAGCCACCCTGGAATAATGGCGGACGATGGGAAGTATCCCTCCCGTCGAGTTCTACCTATCAGGGGTTCAATACAGAATGGCGGGCCGTGACTTTGGGAGGGGACGCCGCTTTCATGTTGGTAAAATGTCGGTGGACAGGGATGAGACTCAACCGAGGACCCGGAGATGATCTGTTCTCCAATCTGGAAGTTGATGGGACCATGTATCTGCCTGAGATCGGCTGGCATTCGTTCGGGGTAGAGATAGCACAAGGTTACGAGCTGGCACCAGTCTTTCGAAGGGCCGCCCAGACGTTGACCCAGATAGGACAATCGGTCAGGGGAAGAAGGAATGTGGGCTTACTTACCCGGGTGGAAATGGGAGGTTGGGGGGAGTTCAGGGCACCGACCACACCGCTGAGATGCCGAGTGCCCCGTTTTATGATAGACCTCGTCTTCGGAAGCCTCGCGAGGGCTCGGGAGTTGGCAGACTCTGTGATAGTCTGGGCAGACCACTTTCCCTCCCCTACGATTGGGATGTTCTACGATGTCGCTGTGGAGCATGGACCGTTCTGGGGAAACAGGGCCCACGAATTACTAGAAGTTATCCACATCCTGATGTTTTGTGCGCCCCGACTAGACTGGACGGGGTGCGAACGCATAATCCAAAGGGAAATTGAGATACGGGAGAATTATCTAACGGGGGTGGCTCAACTATTCGAGGAGCCTACCGAACCGGAAGGGCCACGAAGGCGAGAACGGGACTAGCACCCGCAGGCTAGCCAGTAGGGCAAATCAAGCACAGTCCGCTATGTTCGAAGGCCACCAACAGAAATAGGAAAGGGGGGGGCCTCGGACTCGGATGATCAATAACCGCCAGACGGGGAACACCGCGCCGGAAAACTTTTTCCAGCAGGTTGCCCAACCTGGACCCCTACGCACCAGGCAACGGAATAAGGGCGCTCAAAACAAGCCAGTGATAAGGGAAGCAAAGTCACGCCCTTAGCTCGGTGAAGCAGCAGAGCCGGACGCGGCTCCATATTAGGGAAGCCATCAGAAAATGGGAATGGGGAAAAACCTAATCACCAAGTAAAAGGATAAACCAACAGGACTGGAACCTAGGGAACCTAAATGCCTCGCACTGCGTTTGTTCTAGGGAATCCTTTGGTTATGCAGAAGTAGGCAAGTATGGCAACGGAGGATGAGACGGGTAATCGTGAAAACGAGGGAGGACCAGGCTTAGGAGGCAGTGCTGAGCAAAGCAAGAAAGGGCAGAAGGACAGGGAATCAGCAAATCCGGATGGCACCAAAGGGAACCGGAAGGAAATGTCCTCCGGCGAGAGCTCGGAAAAGGTCGGGGAAAGCAGACAGGGGACCCAAAAAAACAAGGAAGACAGGAATAAGGATACGGGGAACCCCGAGAACTCGGATGGAGCTGTATCTAAGAAAGTAAGGGTTACGAACGCGAGGCGCAAGCTAGCGGAAATAGATAAAAGGACCGCGGAGTACAAGGCAAGGTTAATTGAGGCAATGATGATTGAGAACGAGAAAGACTCTCTGCACGAGGTACCGCGGGACGAACGGAAAACTAGTCGGGGCGGAACTGGGCAAGGGGACAAGGGTAGTGACCGTGAGGGAACGCCGAGCAAAAGAAGGAAAGAAAGAGAGAACTCTCCGGGAATGGAGGCAGAGAAGGCTGCGAACCCCTTAGCCACAGACAGTAGGGCTAGCCGTCTACCAACCTCGGCAGCGGTATCGCGAGGATGCGAAGGGATCTGGAGCCTCAGAGAAAGGGTGTTGGGATGGTTCGACCCGGAAGGAACGGCAAAGACTAGAGGAGGGCAGAAGACCAGCAAGGAAGGGCCAGATACCAGCGTGGCAGGCGAGGCCAGTAGCTCCGAAGGCGGCCTTAGGAAGATAGTACCATCCCTCGCACGAGCACTAAACAAAAATCAAGGCTACATAGCGGATGCTAAGAAAAAGTTGATGTTCGATGGGGCGAACATTACGGAGTTCCTGATCGACTACGAGAACCAAGTTGCGTTACTAAAGTGGACCGAGGAGGAAAAAGTGAAGCACCTAAGACAGCATGTGTCGTTAAGGCTAGAACGAGACATAATAGTCATTGTGGCCGCAAGCTGGTCTTGGAAGGAGACCCGGGATGTGATGATGAGGAAGTACCTAGCGGCAGAGAAAATGGCAACGGAGGCCGACCTAGCGGCAGTTCAGAGGAAGAACTTCGCAATGTACAAAAATTTCCTACGGGAATTTACTCTAGTGGCACTAAGGATCCCCGGGGTCACGGATCGGATAATGAGCAAATATTTCCTCAAGCAGTTCTCCGAGTTCGACAAAGACAAAATCCTGTCAGCTTACCAACAGACGAGCAAGTTCGTAAATACGCGGGATGTTGATTTTAGCACAGTAACGGATCTGGTTGAGAAAACGGTAGTAACAGAAACGTTAACCTTGCTCAAGGAAGGGGAGATCATAGATCTGATCGGTAGGATGGGCGATAAGGTAAAAAAGGGGATTGAAAGTCTACATGAACGGGTGCACGGGGTCGACAATAAAATTGAAAGGATGGAAGACGCGCTACTGGTTATGCAGGCGCAAGTATCCCGACCCACCCTCCCTCCCCAGGAAGCTGTCGTTCCGCCAGGTGTAACCAACCGGGGATTCAGACAGAGAGATCCTGCTAACGAGCAATTCAAGTACTGTACCACGATAGGACATTATGTGCGCGCATGCCCAAAGCTCAACCATGATATTCTGAAAAGAAGGTGTCCCAGGTCATTAAAGGGGGAGATATTTTGACCACAAGGGGAACGGGTGAATTGGAACTCGCCAGGAAGGATGCGACGAGTCATTATCATGCTCAACGGGTTAGAAATAACAGCCGTAGAAGCCGAACCGGTGGGCGAGATCATCTCGGATCAACTCCAGGGGCGCGGACCGCAGGTCAACTTTATTTTGGAAAGCGACGGACGAGATAGGGTGAACGCAACCACTCGACTGGGAACGGTCGGAAGAAGGATTAACCGTGACACCATTATGGAGGAGATCGTCGGAAGCTCCGAACCCTAGGCAGAGCCTGAGGCCGAGGAACCAGAGAAAGTCTATGGGAATCCTAGGGAAGAGGAGCCTACGGACAAGGTTACCGCTTCTAAGAAGAAGTTTCAGTATCAAATCCCGATCTTAACCTTGCCTGAGCTCGACGACACCATTGGCAAGTTACTAGGAACCATGGTGTCGGTGTCTTTTCAGACCATGCTGCAGGCTAGCCCTAGGTTGCTCAAAGGGCTCAGACAACTGTTGACTCGGAGACGAGTAGAAATAGGCGACAACCTTGAATTACCAGAAGGGGAGAGGGAGGAGGAAGCTCCGCAAGAAGTGGCTAACCTTAAGAGGAGTCACGGGGACTTGGAGGATCTCGAAAAAACCTTTGCAGACATTCGTTTGAGCTTGCCCGACCGGGAGGGCGACGAAGTCATGAGATCACCACCCGGGACAAAGCTTAGCTTTCATTCACTACCCGTAGGGAAACTGAAAATCCAGATCGGGACTCATCATACCGACGCGTTAGTAGACGGGGGAGCATAAATCACTCTCATAAGGAGAGATTTCGCAACGATCACGGGATGTACGGTAAACAAAGAAGTAATAAGGAGCATCCGGGGAGCTGGCGGGGAAATCCCGTTCGTCGGGTACGTCATGAAGTGTGTTGTAAAGGCAGGGGTCAGGGAATCGATCTGGTCGTTTCAGCGGATGACCGTAATGGAGGAAATGGACCACAACATAATCCTCGGGAGACCGTGGTGCTCGAACGTGGAGATGATAGGTATGCACTTGCACGATGGCTCATACATGGTAGACATAGAGGACCCTGTGACCGGCCGGGGAGAGCTCCTCCGACTCCTTGGAACGGGAGGAGACTCCCCGAAGGGGAAATTGGCAACATGGTCGCCGTCGTTCGAGGATAGCACGCGAAAAGGGGCTTTCGCACGGATGGAGGGTATGAGAGAAAGGGTAGAAATCATGATTGAGGAAGCATTCAACAAGAAATAGTGGATCAAGATGGGCCTACCCCAGAAGAAGAGGAGGCAGTCCTAGGTGTTATGGTAGCGGAAAAGGAGTCAGAGGTCGAACTTGGTGCTAGCCTGCCCAAACGGAAAGGAGTACGCATAGACGTGCCAAAAATTGCACTCGAGATCCCCGATGTATTGCAACTCATCAAGGCCCTCAGATACCACAAGGTAGGAGTGGATTCGGCAGCCCTGGCCAAGTTCGAAAGAGAGGAGCAAAAGGGATATTGCCTGAATGAGAAACTAGTTAGTATTCAACCACGAGTCGTAGAGGTGACGGGGGCAATTCCGTTTGTTCATTTTTTAGGAGAAAGATCCCGGAACGAAGTGTTCGAAAGTACAAGCCGGTAGGGAAGAAAGCATAACCGGTCTCGATCCTGGTAGAGTCATCAAAGAAAGAGGCTATGGAGAAGGAGAACGAGGTCCTTCGAGTGATCCGAGAAAGAAGGGCGACGGAGGGACATCGGATACCAGATGAGGTAGCTGACACAATGAAGATAGGGATAGACGGGTTCTTAACGGAAGAAGAAACCCGCCTGATCAAAAGGACCTGCCAGGAGTTTCACCTGGCATTTGCCTTTAGTGATCACTAGAAGGGACGACTGGACGTGAAGTTGATCACTCCGGTCAGAATCCACACGGTAGAACATGATTGTTGGAATGACAAGGGGCCATCCTATGAATTTGGAATAGCAGGAGAAGTAACAGACCTCCTCCGAGCAAAGATGAACTCCCTCATTGCAGAGCCTACGGCATCGCCATACGCAAATCGGTGGTTCGTCTTTCGGAAGCCTAACAAGACACTAAGGTGGATTTAGAACCTGCAGAAGTTGAATGCGGTAACCATCTGGGATGCTGGCTCGCTACCTCAGACTGACTTATTAGCAGAATCGCACGCCGGTCGGAGCATCTACTCCCTGATAGATCTGTACTCAGGGTACGACCAACTTCCATTGGACGTTCGGGACACCCCTATGCACCGATGCACACCCCCGTAGGCCAACTACAGATGCAAGTGACCCCTATGGGGTTCACAAACGCGATGGCCGAAGCGCAACGCAGGATGCTCACCGTGGCCGGGGACATGTTCCCAGAAAAGTGTGAGTCTTACATCGATGACAATCCGATCAAAGGCGCGCAGGAGAAGGACGAGACGGAAGTCCAGCCAGGAATCCGACGTTTTGCGTGGGACCACCTGCAGGACATCAAGGACTTACTCCGTCGGTTCCTAGTATACAACATTACGGCTAGTGGACCAAAGAGTATCCGAGCAGTACCGGAGGTAACTATACTAGGATTTCATTGCGGTGCTTACGGAAGGAAGCCGGATCCGGCAAAGACCGACAAGATATCACAGTGGCCGACACCGCTGCGCATGACGACGGAGGTAAGGGCATTCCTGGGCGTAGTCGGTTTTTTGAGGATCTTCATTAAGAACTTTGCTAAGATTGTTGAGCCTATCCGGGCTATGATCAGGGAAGAAGGAACCATGAATTTGACGGAAGAGCGAGAAGGAGTTGTCCAAAGGCTCAAGGACATTTTGACGGTTGAGACAGTCGCCCTGTCCGTGCCTTGTTTTAATGACGAAGTGGGACGACCCTTCATCCTAGAGACGGATGGAGGACCTTTGGTCGTAGGAGGTGTGTTGATTCAAAGGGATGAGGTTCGAAAGTAGAACCCTGAACTCCACAGAACGACGGTACTCGCAATTCAAGAAGGAAGTCCTAGCCATCCTGCATTGCCTTAAGACCTTCCAGGCCTACCTATTTGGGAGGCGATTCATCTTAAGGATCGATCCGACGAATGTCGCAGGGGCTCTAAGGAATTACAGGCCTTTAGATCCGACGGTAGGGAGATGGGTAGGATTCATCCGGCAGTTCGATTACAAGATCGAACGAATTGTTGGAATCCGCAACAAGGCAGATGGGCTGAGTCGGGTTTGCATCACTCCCGAAGGGATGGAGGATGCAGAACCCATAGACGCATTCCTCGAATACGAAGGAGAGACTCTCGCGGTGGATAATGAAATGATGAACGAGGGATGCACATCGGGAGAACTATTGATCCAGACTTTGGAGAAGGGGACACCTGCCGTAGTAGCAGAACTTAGAGAAGGATCAGTTACCACTCGAGAACGCAGAGAAGAAAATGACTCATGAGCAGCGATAGTTGGACCGAAAGAGGAACTAATAGCAATGGCGGTCGAGGGAGGCCGGAAAGAAGTGATGAGTTTAGTGGAATCTTGGGAAAGGAAAGAGTTGCAATGGGTGGTAAACCAGATGCAGGGAGGAAAGGATGGGGGCAAGGAAGGAGAGGAGTTTTTCTATGTCCAATCATACGAAGGGCTCTTTCGGGAGATCGGACTGTTATTGGTAGGAAACAAACAACCTACGGAAGTCGGTATTAAAGCAAAAGAAGAAGCAGAAAGGTACGTCCTAAGGGACGGACATTTGTTCCAAAGGGAGGAAGGTGCTATGCCCAAAAGGGTTGTGTGCGGAAGATCTAGGCAAGTAGACGTTATCCAGGCAATGCACGATGGGTTGGCTGGAGGTCATCGGTCGTCCAAAGGAACGCTTGCAAAGATGACGCCACTCTATTATTGGCCAGGCATGGCAGGCATGGTCGCCATATACTGCCAGACTTGCCTTATTTGTCAAGAACGAAGCTCGGTGTGGGTCTTCAAACCGCTTAGACCAACGCGGGTGCTAGGGCCGGGGCACCTGGTCCACCTCGACCTTGCGGTCATGCCTGTATCAACGGATGGGTACAGGTATATCCTGGATGCGCGAGACAACCTGAGTGGGTTCGTGGAGGCCGTCGCCCTCAAGAAAAAGACAGGGAGGAGTGTGGTGGACTCGATAGAAGACTTCTATTTAAGGCATCCGTTCGTCAGGAGGTTTATAGCAGACAATGAGACGAAATTTGTGAACCAAGAAGTATTGGGAATGCTTAAGAGACTCTGCGTACCGGTCAAACTCATCGAGCCGTATCACCCTGAGGCCAATGCACCTGTGGAAAGGGGGCACCGATCCTTGAAGAACAACTTTGCAAAGCTCGCAGCGGACCATCTGGGGAACTGGCCTAGGTACCTTAAGTAGACTGTCTCTGCAGAGAATATGACCCCTAAAAGGACAACGGGATGTATCCCGACAGAGCTTTGGTATGGAAAAGAGATCGAGTTTCCTGTGGAAGCCTTGTTACCTACCTGGAATAGGTTAGATGATGATCCGCAAATGACCACTGAAGAGTTAATCGAGGCAAGATGTCAACAAATCCTTAAGAATGAGGAGTTTATGGAAGACATCGCCAACCGGGTACTGGACAATAAAATGAGGGACAGGTTAAGAAGGTCAGAAAGGAGTCACTTCAACTTCAAGTGGGGGAGATGGTATTGCTAAGGAACTCGGCACTAGAAAGTACTTTGTCAGGACAGCTAGGAAAGAGGTCTCCTACCGGGTCGCTAAGCGAGTGGGACCGAACACCTTCGAATTGGAAGATTTGGATGAAACTGGATTGAAAGGACCATTCCCGGGGCAACGATTGGTCAGGTTTCTAAGCAAAGACCCAGTGGAACAATGGCTTCAGGAGGCCGAAGATAAGGAAATTGAGGGACCACAAGGCAAAAACTGACCACAGCCTTGTCCACACTATGGTTTGTCTCTGACCATGTTCATGGGACTGTCATTTTTTTGGGGACTTGCACTTTGGCTTGGACTGACTGAGGTTGAAAAGGTAGTGTGACTTGGGGGGTTGCAATATCTGGCCTGTGTGACAACGAGAAGGGATGTTTGGGGCATTGTGCCATAGTTTTTGACGGGAAAGCAATGGGGTTATCGCAAAACGACGCATTCGCATATATAATAGGGGCATGCTGCGAAGGATGTTGGGAGCATTCTGGGGAAAAAGGGGTAGCTACCTACCAGACTGGGGGAATGGGTGCATGAGGGGCTTTGCAGGTGTTGTTTTGTTATACAGGGTCTAAAAGAAAAGAGAAGATGGAGTTCGGTGACAAAAATGACAGCGGGGCAATCAACAGGCCTACCGGAGGGGAGGAAGCAGGACCAAGCCAAGGAAGGAGAGCGGCAAAGAGAAAGTTGTATATAGGACTTATGGGTGGCCCAGTGGTAGGCAGGGGGGGAAGGAAATGCTTGTGTAGGAAACCCTCACCCTTCGCGAGGGAGCAGGTATAAAAATCTCGTATGACAGTGAGGGAGGGAAGGAAAAGGCAGAAGTGGAAGAGGGAGGCAATACAGAGATGGGAAATAAGGTTCAGGTCTCTGACGAGGAAGGAGTCAACAGGGGCAAGCGACGTGAGACTTGGCATGGGGAAAGCGGGGGGGGACAAGACATGCACGACAAATATGAGGAGGGTGAGGAAAGAAGGGAGAGCCCGCTTGAAGGACGAAGCGACCACGACAGTTGCGAGGGGTATGGAACGGGGACAGAGATTCCTTTTACCTACGATCCAAAGAACCTTGCGGGTGAATATAGCCTCATACAGACAGAAGACGAGGAGGACGAGGAGGAGGACGTGCAAGAAGTCATAGAAATCAGCAGCGGGGATGAGAGGGATGAGATCTCAAGGTCTAGGGAAGAGGGGCGGCCTCCGATGCACCAGTCGGGCGACGGGGCTTTCAGATGGGAGGACGAGTTTGGTCCAACGCCCAGTCATTGGTTCCAGCAATGGACCAATGTGATCAGACACGGATGGATTATCAAGACTCGGGAACTCGCAAGGGCAAAGGTGGAAGCCACACCACTGGATTTTTTCAACGAGGCCGAGTTACGGAAAATTGTAAGGATGAAAAGAGAAATCGAGACCTACGGCTTGGGGGTTAGAAAGCCTGCCAAGGAACAGGGTGGACAAGAGACCAGGCAGGACGAGGCGCAAGGCAGCAATAGGAACTAGGTGTTAACTTAGCATTGCAAAGGATCGCTGCTTTTCGGTCTGCGGAGACATGAGAATGACGAAAACGTGTACAGTATGGGCAAGCTTGCTAAGGACGAAGTGAAAAGAGGGTCAGCTAAGACTGTGTCACGATAAGATAGAAGATAGTTTTGAGGCTACTTTTTGGATGAGATACCTTGGGTACATAAGACAAAGACATGGGATTTGGGATGAGACCAATTGGGAGAGGGTGTATTGTGAATTCTGGATGGAATAAGGATTATGCTTTCGAGAGGGGAAAACTTTGAGTACGAATTGATGAGCGAACCATGACATTGAATGATTGGTCGAGTACAAGAGAGGTTAGGGAACCTATGGGTTAAGGGGCGTGAAAAACACTCCTTCCCTAGGAGCCTAATCCAACTGAGTCATGAAGATCTGAGTTGTCGGAACGAGTGAAGAAAAAAGGGGGCGCCTCTGTCTCTTGCTGTGGTGAACGGCCAGGTGAGCTAGTGCTGCTTGGGGTCGCGAACCCCAACCCGAGTGCTAGGCACTAAGCCGGATGTATGCATGGATAGTACATTACTGTGAGAAATGGAATGGATGGTACATTACTGTGAGAAATGGAATGGATGGTACATTACTGCGAGAAATGGAAGAAAGAGAACAACACGCAAAACATGAGATGACCACCTTCTAACCTCCAAGACAAAAATAAGATCCGTAACCTCGAGGTCCATCCCCTCGGGTGCTAATATTGAGAATGGAAAGGAATGACCCTAACCAGACTGTTCGACTTGAGAATGGAAAGGAATAACCCTAACCAGGCTGTTCGACTTGAGAATGGAAAGGAATGGCCCTAACCAGGCTGTTCGACTTGAGAATGGAAAGGAATGACCCTAACCAGGCTGTTCGACTTGAGAATGGAAAGGAATAACCCTAACCAGGCTGTTCAACTTGAGAATGGAAAATAACAACCCTAACCAGGTTATTCAGGAATGGCCCCTGACAAGGGTCATTCCTTTTGAAATAGGCACTTGGGTCCCCTGTATATTTGATTGAGAAAGGTTGATTGAGAATGTGCTGGAATGAGCAATAAGAGATGGAAAAGGCCGATGGGTCGGTCATTGAAATAGCCAATGGGATGAGAGAAATGAAAAAGGCCGGTGGGTCAGTCATTGAAATAGCCAATGATAGATGGAAGAGATGAAAAAGGTCGGCGGGTCGGTCATTGAAATAGCCAATGGGATGAACGGAAGAGATGGAAAAGACCGGTGGGTCGGCCGCTGAAATTGCCAAGGGGGCGGAAGAAAGATATGAATAAGAATGACAGAATAAAAGAGGCGGAACCTTGAAGTCAAGAGGGGCAGAGACCGTTGGAACGGTCACAGAGATTGGGTGTTGAGGAATTAGAATTGAGGATTGAATGGGCGGAAGGGTCGGTCTTGAGAAATGACTATTTTTTAGAATGACCGCCAGACTGGCCATGTGGGTGGCCTTGTTGGTAAGGGGTTGTCGGACCAGTCATGAGAATCAGCCTTGGAAATAACATTGGATTGAATGATTGAGGATTGAATATTGCATTGCATACTCAGGGGACCCTAGGCAACTTGAAATTGACTTGGAAATAGCCTTGAAATGAATTTTCTCTTTTTCTAATCTTTGGCCTCTGCAAGAGGGGGATACCGGTGCTTGCACCGCGACCCCAAGACCTCTATCCCTGTAAGGGAAGATGTCTCAGCGCGACCTGTTCCTCTTGTAAGGGGATGAGGGTTAAAAGACCAAGGCACCTACCACTTGGATCGGTGCGGGACGTCCGGAACTGACCCCGACAACGAGCTCTAGTAGGGAAGTTCAAGTT